GCACCAGATCTGAGTCTATTGGAACAGAACACAGTTTAATTTTGACAAATATACTTTTAACACACTGATAGCCCATGGAAGGCAATTTGTTATTCATGGTCAATTAGTGCAAAAGCCTCATGTGATTTAGCCTGGAAAAAAACAGCACACCCACTAATTCAGACAGCTATTTTAGTTCCTTACTCAGAGGATACCAGCTGGCGGGCAGAAAAAAAGGGGAAGAACTGAAGGCTGCATGATTACAGAAAGTTATCTTTGCGAAGAGATAACTTTTAAACCTGCGAATGTATCTATATACTCTTACCACAGGAGTATATCAAGGTATTAATGAAGGTAACTGCACTGCAACCATGGAAGCTGCATGAGACCTAGAGCAGCAGAGGGAGCGACTGGCTGACCATAAGGCCAGGAATCACTAAATGAAGATCTGGTGACTCATAGTTTCCAGTTGCACAAAGCTTTGCTAACAGAGATCACAAAATAAGTAACTGAGCAGGAATTTTTATTAATGGAAACATACCTCCGCAGGATAACAAAAAAGGCCACAAGAAAGAGAAAAGCCATAGCATCGAGATTTCCAGCCCTTTCCACTAGGGCACGGTGAGCAAAACACAGTTAAACACATAAGCTTATGACAGGGCACTCCATCACCAAACCGCCCCACAAACACACAAGCCTAATGCTTCTTTGGAAAGAAAAACCTTGTACCCTCAGTTCCAACCCCACCGCCTCCACTTGCTCATTCAAAGGCTATTTTTAAGTGATCTTAGTTAAACACTCTTCCCATCTATTTTAGAAAACGATGACAGGATTAAGGGACAGGCACTTCCTCACTTCTGTAGCTGGACCCAAACTAGCACATCCACCTCCGTCCTGCTCCTCTCACAAATCCAGAGCCAGAAGCGTTTGAGCAGGTGCATCAGAGAAAAGAAATGACGTGTCAGGCAGCTGCAGAAAGAGGGTAACGAAGCATGCGACAGCTAACAGCACCGCAAACCCACCGCTCGGGGGACACGGTCCCAAAAGAGCTCTCCGCTACAGCCGCAGCTGCCAGGCCAGGGGCTTTCAAGCCATCAGCGCGGAGACTGAAAAACTACTCGGGGAACCGGGAGAAGAAAAACGCACACACCACAGCGGCCGACACAGGCACCACCATCCCACGCACGA